ATAATTTAAATGCAAATTTTGACGTTCCGGAATTTGATTCAGACTGCTGAGCTTCAGAGTAATGGCCGTCCAACATGGCGGAAATATCTCCGATTTATCCACAACAATGCTCTGTTTGCCGAGATTTTCTCATTCTTGACAACGAAGACTGTATCCATGGTAATAGAACCATCAGAAACACTACATGACCTTGAACTTTCATCGATGATGACCTTGTAAATGTAACGGTAAACTGTGACCTCTGTTCACTGCTGTTTAATTTTACTTTATTACCCCAGAAGTAACGGCATCGGAAACCAGCTCTGCGAACCAGTTCCCGACGTTCTCCGGCTTCTGTTAACGAATACCTTTTTTCACAACCTGATTTTTTCTTGGTATTTATAGCCACTGACTAGAAGGTCGTAAAGCATTTACTGCTTTAAAAATGATGATCATCAAGTCACTAGAAGGTTGAAGAACACTAAGAACTTGATCAAGTATTCTAATCTGAGTGAAGAAGTACTGTCTTGATGCTTGAGTCCTGTCAATAGAAAACATCATAATGTTTCATTAACTTTCTAGTTGTAATTTTTTGCTAGATTTTCAAGTTCATATAATCTAGGTGGGTATACCATCACTTATTCTGACATGGAGTTAAATCAAGGGTATTTAGATGAGCAATGAAAAGGTGTATCAACTAATATAATGTCTATTATTAAGAATGTCTATATGCCTGTGTGATTATTAAAAAAAAAAATTGACATCATTTTGTAATGAAGGAAATGTGTTTTTTGCTTTTTTTAACCAAGATCCACTTATGTTCCATTTCCATTGTTTTTACTTTTTTGAGCTGTGTCATGACAAAACCAACATAGTACATTTGCAACCAGCATCCCCACAGTCTGATCAGGATCCATGCTGTTCGCTTACCAACCCTTTTACATGTAGAGAAACTGATAGCCAACAGGACGGATCCTGATCAGACTGCACAGATGGGCAGGCTGATTTGATTCTAAGCTGGTCACAAACGCACTATGTTGGTTTTGTTGTGACATGGCTCAAATGCAATGCTGTCTCTAATTAAGTGTGTAAAACATTATACTCACAATTGTAATAGCAAAATATTAATGAGTTAACATGTTGGTCCCTCTTTACTATATGTAATAGTCTATTATAGTACCCAAAGCCATAGTTCACGTCTACATGCCACTCAGGTCTTCAAAGAGGAATGCCATCGCACTTTTCCAACATTACAATGCCTTCCTCTTGTTTGTGATACTGTCCGGAATTATAAAGTTATAATTATTTGATTGGGTTTTACTACACACTGATACAGTATAGGTCATATGCTACATTACAGTTTTTACAGGTGGAGAAAGCCCTCAGGTGCCTCCGTGCATTATTTCAGACATGATCGGGCACCTGAGTAAAACCAAACCATCGTTTTTGTAAGCTAGCTGATAACTCACATGAAAAAAAATCCAAAAGCCTGTCGGGATTGAACCCACATCTTTGAGTTGTAGAAATTAAATTGAAAAATCTAGTAAACTCTTCCTGAATATGTTTAAAATAATAATTGATTATATGTGAAATTCAATGTTAAACTATGTTTGGAAAGCTGCGTTCGCCTATTTCTTCGTCAATTAATTTGGTCCAATCTTATTTGAAAACTGACAGAAAAAATGACAGTTTTTTTGGAACACTATGTAATCATATTGTGATTACCTGTAGTATGTAGGGTTAAACCTAACATATTTCTCTGTGTATTTTATTTTACATTTTTAAAAGAGACTGTATAGTAATTATGCAGTTTTTTTAAAAACATCAAATTTGAGCAAAATATAGTCTTTAAGTTAATGAATCAAGAAAAAGTTAAGTGCAAATACTTCAATGTCAGTCACCTAGTTTGAACGACCCTTTAAAATGCAGACAATAAGCCCCTTGAAAGTAACATGAACTGCATAATTTGTCACATAAGTGCAGGAAATGGGTTAAACTCCTATTAAATTATATAACTAGTTAACCTATTTACTGCACTTAAGGTGACTATATACTGAATTTACACATCTAGACAGTCTGTTACATTGATTATAAATATTCTATTAAAATAGTCTCATTTCTTATTCCACTGTAATGCTATGTCACGACAAAAAAACATAATGGTTTGCGGCCAGCATGATCCAGACCAGCCTGCCCGCATCTGCGCAGTCTTATCAGGATCATGCTGTTCGCTTTTTTAAACCTTTTTAACAAGGAGAGAAACTGAATGGAACAGGCATGGATCCCTGATCAGACTGTGTGGATGCGCAGGCTGGTCTGGATCCATGCTGGTCGCAAACGCATTACCGTTGGTTTTGTCAGATGACGCGGCTCATTTTGTATGAGGTTAACATACCAGAAATGGTATGTAGCATGAACGGGAAAAACAAGGTTAACAAAAGCAAGCATTAACATCCAGAAATGTATGTAATTACATCATACAGGAAAAACATTCTATATAAACAACCTAATATCATTGTTATTAATGCCAGATCTAAGAGATAATGTTTACTTTACATGCGTATCAATGTCACATGTTTGAATATATCATATCAGATTAACAAAGATATACCGAAAACCTGTCTCATGTCAATTATGTAGACCACCACTCGCACCTAGTTATTAAAAACACTTTGAACTTTGACCAAGTTCTATAGAACATTCACCTAATTCACGAAATACCTTTAATAAGGCCCTTTTTGCCAATTCTGAGTACAAACATGGGAAAATAAGACTTGTTGTTGGAAACAGACAAATGACCCCCAAGCTTGGCCAAGTAAGGAACATTATCTTTGACATCCTACAAATGCATGTTTAAAGAACTACTTATTAATAATCTAAAAATGCATCCACAAAAGACAGGATTGATGTCCAGATATCCAGACCATCAATGAGCTTTTATAAAGTTTTACCTTGTTAAGTATTAGTGTGACCTTGACCTTTAAGCTACAAACTTGTTCACAACCAATCACAAATTGTTTTAAAGTACCACATATTTAAACCAAATCAATGCACTATCATATCATGACAATTGGTCATTCAAGTTTGACCTTGACCTTTGGGATGCTGAGCTGGATCTTGTTCACTACATATAAGCAGCATAATTATTTTTAAATCCATCCATGAATAACAAATTTATACACCACATATGACCATCCATCTATTCATAATCAAGTTCTTGACCTTGACCTACGACCTTTGAGCTCGAGATCTTATTCTTGTGAGAGACACATCATCATAAAATGCAACACTTTTATGCAAAGCTATTCTTAAATTCATCAATGAATGACAGAACTGTTGACAGGCCATGAACATTAATGTATTTTTTATGAAAATTTCCTGTGATGTCAGCATTACCTTGACCTTTGAGCTTCAGACCTGGGTCTTGCTCCTGCATTATCATCTTATTGTGCTATATGTTTATTAATACATACAATTCATGTAATTTCTAGAGATACTATTCCATTTTTTTTACAACTAACTGCTGATACATGACAAATTATTCACATATATTCGTTTTTAGTACAAGTGCATGTGTATTATTCTTATTTTAAAATGTAATGTGAAATTTCAAGATTCACTTCATTTGTCTGTGCATTCTTTTAACTTAATATAACATACTTTTAATGGACAGTTGCAATAGTTTAAATTTGACAAATTTAGTTGGTTTAAAGTTAAAGTGGTTACAATGGGTTCATTTCAAATATTGATAAAATCAATAGAAATGTATTATCTGGATATTCTTATAGAAATATTTCTTGAGAAATATGTTGATAATTTTCTTAGTGATTTAGTATAAACATTTATATAATGAATAAATTAATAATATTTTGTTATAGAACAATTTAATCATCTTCTATATATAAATATGCAATTCTTCTAGATATAGATATGCAATATTTCTATATCATATAGATATGCAATACTTCTATATATAGATAATAGATATGAAATACTTCTATATGTATAGTTAATAGATATGCAATACTTCTATGTATAGATATACAATACTTCTACATATAGATAATAGATATGCAATAATTTTATACATAGATAATACATGTAGATATAAAATTCATATATATAGATAATAGATATGCAATAAACTTCTATATATAGATAATAGATATGCAATACTTCTATATATAGATAATAGATATGCAATACTTATATATATAGATAATAGATATGCAATACTTCTATATATAGATAATAGATATGCAATACTTCTTTATATAGATAATAGATATGCAATACTTCTATATATAGATAATAGATATGCAATACTTCTATACATAGATAATAGATATGCAATATTGGATCGTGTATCTTGCACTTTCCAACAGCCTCCATGTATAATTCAATTGTGGTTTGTTGTTACATTTTGTTTGACACTCAATACCATCAACATAACTATTAATGGTATTACACACCTTCCATTAAGAAAGATTGAATCATATTGGAATGCATGGTTGATAACTGTAAACTGCATAAAAATTCAGACAGAAAGACAGAAAAACAGACAGATAGATAGCCACTTTACTTTTCAAATATTATTTCCAGGATACATTTTGAACATATGTTTATTTCCTGCAAATTTTAAAATCCGAGTACCGTACTTACAGTTTTTTAGTTTCACGTAACTCATGCAAGTCACAAAATGATATACGAAATTTATGACTGAAGAGTCTAATTTAATTGATAAATTAAAAAATTGTCATGTTACTCAGTTGTCTCAAAATGAAGCATTGAAACTTGGAAGGTCTTCATTCATATGAAGTTTCCTTTACATTAAAAAAATATGAAAAATGACATAAAAAAACCCAGTCATACCTTTAAATGAAAAAGACTGCTGTGACTTATCGACTCCTTCGGCTATTTTCCTTCTTTTACCCAAATGTTCTTCTTCTATGGAGTCATCACTAACTGAAAACCTATCTTCGTCTGCTGAAACTTCATGCTCAATTTCTGCTTTCCCATAGCTTGACTTCCTCTTCACAATCTTTTTCTTGTTATGCAAGTCTTTTGTTAAAGCGTTTAAATCTTCGTTCTTCAGAAGCTTGTCAAAAATCGTCATAGGGATGCTTAGCATCAACAGTTTGTTAAAGCATAAAGGATTTCTGAAAACTCTTGATAGCAGGCGCGGACATCGAGCAAGTGGAAATTCCATGATGCTCATATAGTTGAACATACCGTCTAAAACTTCCATGGTAACCAGTTGCATCGTGGGATCAGTCATTTGAGATACCCGTGATAACAGAACCAAAATGTTGTATTCCGTAACGTTATTTCTGCTGGGAACCCGTTTCCTTTTGCAATGCCCTTTCTCCTTTATTAGCGTTTCTTTTAATGTTGCTAATTTTTTATTGAAATTTTCATTTCCTTCTTCAATAAATTCACTTTTTACATTATCTGGAACATTACTAGTGTTTTCAATATCGGTCTTGTCATACTTGTAATCAAACCCTTGACTGGAATCAACAGCTGAATGTTTGACTTTAGCTTGTGTTTGTTCCGGATCTAAAGGACTTTCCTCCAAAGTGAATGGATCGTCAGAGATTCCTTCAGAGCTGTTCAAAAATAAATTATCATGTGCATCATTTACATCTACTTCCTGTGAGCCTCTTTCTGGACTTGATAAATCGGTGTTAAAAGGTGATATTGACCTTTTTGAACATTCTGGACTAGTTGCTGGACTTAAAGATGTCCTATACAGCTTGCAATTTATGCCTGTGTATTTCGGGTGATAATTTTCTGGCGACTGTGAACCAGTCAAAGAATTGTAACTATGACAACTGCTTGGACTGGTTTCTGGGAATATTTTTCTACTAGCCCTCTGTGGACTTGGACTGGTATTTGGAGAAGATGGTGGGCTGTACTCTGGAGAACTTTCTCCTGGAGAATAATATGAACAATTGCTGAGTGGACTATAGGAGCTCTTCAGGGAATACTCAAATGAATGAGGAGGTGTGAATCTTTCGATGCACTTTGCACCTTGGTAGTCCTGAGGTTCCCATTCCACACTGGACCTATAACTTGGACTATCGATACTGTATACAGGTCTTTTTGTTACCTTTCCAGCATCTTGATTGGTTTTAAATTCATTGGTTTCTTTTTCGTTTCCGTCATCAGACTCTTTAAATAGCTCTGTCTCCTCATGTTCAGTATCTTCTAAACTTACTTCAGTTTTCTTCTCCACTTTATCTTCAACTAGATTGTCTTGACAACCTTCTTGTTCCACTTCAATTTCTGGTTTTATTTCTTGTGCAGGGTCAATAACTATATGAATATTGGGCTCAGTGTTTAACTTTGGTTCACTGTCTTCTATGTCTTCTATTCTTCCAGCGGTCTGCTTTGAATCATGTGGCTCTGTCACTTCTTCTTTATCCTTTAGTTTATCAGTAATAGCTTCTTTCTCTTTTTTATGACTATCATGGCCATCATCATCATCATTACCAGCATCATTTTCTTGCATTATATAAGTTTTTAAATGGTTTATCAATAAAGGGACTAGACCGTTATCTAAGAGCACATCAAAACTCGTCTCATCATACAAGAAACAAACTAGGGCACTGATAATTCGTGCATGTAATGTTCGGAACTTAGCATCTTCTAGCGACTGTATGAAAAACCGCAGAACATTTTCGTCTCGGAGTTTAACTCTATTTACTGCTTCCTTACAACACAGACAAAGCACACTCAATAAATCTTCTCTTAAATATTCCCAGAAAGGCTCCTGTGATGAAAACTCCTCATAAAACATGGTTATTCCCCCTGAATTCCCAAACTCGGCTCGAAAGTTGTGATGCTCACAGAGACGAGTGACTATCTGGAATGCTTCTATATTAGATTCTTTTACTAGTGATAATAGGTAGGGTATTTTACCTGAAGCTATCACCTGTCTGGCAAATTGGAGAGTACTTCTGCAACAGAAAGATACAGTACTGAAATATCAGAAACATTTGATGAATTTGCTATGGTAAACCAAAATTTTATACATATCTACACATTTCAAAAAATACAAGGAGCTCTTAATGTTCCACTTTCATTATTTTTCTTCATTAAAATCAACAACCATTCAACAACATTCAGTCTTATAAAAGAATATTTTTCATCTAAAATCCATTCAAAAAGCAACTTATAAAATATATGTGCAAATCTTCCATAAATTTTTGAAATGAAAGAAAAAAAGTATAATTCTACTACCCATGGACAGATAGACTGTGTATACATCTTAGTGCAGACGACTTCAGTGTGTCTACATCACTGTCAATGAGCTTTGATGTGACACTGATGACATTTTTCTCAACAAGCTTCTGAACATGCGGACCAGTCTGTCCAAGCAGCCTGAAATAAAGAAATCTCCAGATGAGGGGTGACAAAAAATCTTAATATTGACTCTTTAATTAAAGTAATAATTTAGACCTTATCTGTAAATTTATGATTAAAGAAAATACTTTTTTGTAGCTCAAATATTGATTTGAGTAAAAGATGAAGAATTAAAGCTGCATACCTCCAGAAGACCAGAAGAGCCAAACTATTTCAAGAAAATCAATATTGAGAAAAATGCATTAAACTTTTAAGAAAGGTAAAAACATTCAAGATCCAAGTTATATTTTCATGCAATGTGTGGTTTAACACTGAATTTGCTGTATTTTATCACTATATTGCTATTGTGTTACTAATGCAGTGAGGGCTGTTTTTGCAAATGTTGACCACATTTTGGTAATTTTCTTATTGTAAGTGCTGATTACAGTATGTAAATTACTTTAATTGTTCACCTCACAATATTTTACTTTTAAATGCATTTCCAATTTTTTTATGAAACAAGAGGGCCATGATGGCCCTGAGGTCGCTCACCTGTATATAGGCCCCCCTCCCTCCCCGGGCCAATTTTTACCCAAGGGCTTTTATTTGTTTATTTGAACAGACTTGGTAGACACCCATAAGAAGATGTTTCATGCTAAACATCTAAGTTCTAGCTCATTGGGTTTTTTAAAAGAAGATTTTTTAAAGTTTTTACTATACACATATAGTTAAAAACAATGACACCCCTGGGGCAGGGCCAGTTTTGACCCCCGGGCTTTTATTTGAACAAACTTTGTAGATATTTACTTAAAGATGTTTCATGCTTAATATCTAAACTCTAGCTCTTTGAGTTCTTTAAAAGAAGATTTTTTAAGTTTTTACTATATGCATATAGGGAAAATCAATGACCCCCCTGGGGCAGTGCCAATTTTGACCCCAGGGCTTTTATTTGAACAAACTTGGTAGACACTCATTAGAAGATGTTTCATGCTAAATATCTTAGCTCTAGCTCTTTAGGTTCTTTAAAAGAAGACTTTTTAAGTTTTTACTATATGCATATAGGGAAAATCTATGACCCCCTGGGGCGGGGTCAATTTTGACCCAGGGCTTTTATTTGAACAAACTTGGTAGACATTCACTAGAAGATGTTTCATGCCAAATATCTAAGCTCTAGCTCTTATGGTTCTTTAAAAGAAGATTTTTTAAGTTTTTACTATATGCATATAGGGAAAATCAATGACCCCCCGGGGTGGGGCCAATTTTGACCCAGGGCTTTTATTTGAACAAACTTGGTGGACACTCACTAGAAGATGTTTCATGCTTAATATCTTAGCTCTAGCTCTTTGGGTTCTTTAAAAGAAGATTTTTTAAGTTTTTACTATATGCATATAGGGAAAATCAATGACCCCCTGGGCGGGGCCAATTTTGACCCCAGGGCTTTTATTTGAACAAACTTGGTAGACATTCACTAGAAGATGTTTCATGCTAAATATCTAAGCTCTAGCTCTTACGGTTCTTTAAAAGAAGATTTTTTAAGTTTTTACTATAAGCATATAGGGAAAATCAATGACCCCCGGGGCGGGGCCAATTTTGACCCCAGGGCTTTTATTTGAACAAACTTGGTAGACACTCACTAGAAGATGTTTCATGCCAAATATCTTAGCTCTAGCTCTTTGGGTTCTTTAAAAGAAGATTTTTTCAAGTTTTTACTATATGCATATAGGGAAAATCAATGCACCCCCGGGGCGGGGCCAATTTTGACCCAGGGCTTTTATTTGAACAAACTTGGTAGACACTCACTAGAAGATGTTTCATGCCAAATATCTAAGCTCTAGCTCTTAGGGTTGTTTAAAAGAAGATATTTAAAGATTTTTCTTTCGGTTGCCATGGCAACCAGAGTTCTGCATGGAATTAAATTCTTTGAACAATTTTTAAAGGTGATCACCAAAGGAACATTCCTGTGAAGTTTGGATGAAATTGGCTCAGTGGTTTATGAGGAGATGTCATTTAAAGCAAAAGTTTACGGACGGACGACGGACGACGGACGGACGGACGGACGGACGCCGGACGAAAAGCGATCACAAAAGCTCACCCTGTCACTTTGTGACAGGTGAGCTAAAAAGCCGTACTGCTTTAAAGGAAAAAATGTCCTTTTTTCTACCTTAAAGCTCTAATGCACGTCTGCTTGATTTCATCTTTCTCAGTGTCCTGTAGAAGCTTGACAATCTTCTCAATGACAGAAGAGCAGCAGACAAGCTCCCAGCTACCTGGATCTAACAGCATATTTGACAGGCACCGACAAGCACGGTTTTGTAGGCTCTCTGGTTCAACCTCTTCAAACAATTCAACTGAAAAATATGTCACTTAAAGGAACTCCACTGAGAGGTCCATTAGCCTAAAATCATAAAATTTGAAAATCTTTCATAAATCAACTAGTGTACTTAATTAACAAACTCTTTGCAACAGATAAAATATAAATATACCTGGTATTAAATTGATAATTGATTTTTTATAAGACTTTTGGGCTAATTTGATTGAAAAAAAGTTGCAACATTTTGCGAAATTTTGGCCTCTGAAGACAGTCAAACAAGGGAAATACAAAATGACAAACCCATGGTAATGAGCTTTAATTAATCAATAGAGATAGTCCAGAACTTAGCAAATTTTGGTTTTATCCATCCAATCACCTGGGTACATACAACCCAACTTTTACAGTCACAACTAAGTAAAAATATTGAGGTTGATCGCTATATTGTAAATTGTAGTGCGACATGAAGCTAAAATAATGTGTTTGTTTGTAGCCCAGGATAAGATGGGAAAAACCTGCATTTGACGAGTTCCTCATAACATCAATATGCAACTAATATATTCAGGCTGATGAAAATGGTACTATTTTTATCTCAAATTAAATTCTTACCCAAAATTGTTACACCTGTTTTTTTATCTTTTAAAACCTGAAAAACATCATATTAGATTGGGTTATCATTTTGCAGCCAAAAAAAACACAACAAAAAAACAAAGCCATCTAATGCATAAACACATATTAGAAACAGTGCATAATAAGTTAACATTTTTAATTTCTTATAATTTTTTTGCGTAAAATAATATGTACTATGATTAATTTTTGAATATCATTTTATTAAAAAAAAAAAAAACAACCAAGAACATACTTTTTACTATTACATGCCATATCAATGAATTCCTCAGAGCTATGTCTGGAATGCACAGAAAGTACCGGAAAACAGTGTCTAGCTAGGTTTTTAAATTTTGAGAATAATCATACAGCTTAATAAAACAAATTCAAATGTATATGTACACATGTAAACATGACCCCCATTTGTGTTATTGTATCATATAGTAAACACGACCCCCTTTGTGTTATTGTATTGTATAGTAAATATGTCACAACTCACAAGTACCTGTTTTCTAGTGACACCTTCCATGCACATATTTCCCAGAATGCTCAGCGATATGTCAATGACCTTTGACATATACTGCTCTTCTAGACTGTCTCTTGACCGGATCAGATCTAAAAGTCTTTGGACCAGTCTAGCATCAACAAGCATACCAACATCTGTGGTGAAAAAATTAACTATATACAAAATTCTTTCCTACAAAAATATAACACAAAGTTTATAGCAATGCACATATTTTTATGTGACAAAATTAAAATTCAAAATTAATTGAAAAAGAACCCACACAACTATTGTTGTGAAAATTGTATACACCTTGAAGAAGACAAAATACAATATAGCAAATTTATGGTCAGTAGGTCAGCAGTATCTATTGTGTTGTTGGGTTTTAAGTAACACTCAAAGTCATCATTTGACCTTAACATTGTCTGTGTAATTTAAAAGCCTTTTATAACCATGACCTGGGTGTTGCCCTCTTAATCTAGCCAAGACATCTGCAAATATTTTGACAATCTATCAAGGAATAAAAAAGTTATTACACAATAATGAAATTTGACACACATGACTTGAACTTTGACCTTCAAGTGCAACTCTGACATCATGTGAATATGGTTAAGGTATATGACAAATAATAAGACAATCCATTTAGTAATAACAAGAGATATACTGGCATAATTTTGTGCACACACGTACATGTGCACTCAGAAAGGTAAACACTATATGCTAATGCAGCCACTGACCCTGGTGAATGACAATCCATCAAGAAATAAGAAAGATATAAATAAAAGCAGAAAGTGACCACTCAGTATTTTAGTTTTGAATTTCAAGGGCAACCTTGACCTTCAAAGTATGGACATGGAATATTCTGTGACTATGGTGAAGGCATGCTAAATATTTTGACAATTCATCAAGAAAATGACACATAAGCCTGTCAGAAATTAATCTCTGACCTTCAAGTTTGACCTTCACCTAAAAGGTTGCATGTCACACATCATCTAATTGTGGCAGTTATGTGTACCAGCTGTTATTTTTTAAATCTCATGCATGCAGACTGATCATGAAGTATATAGTTACTTTTTTTGAAAAACACACAAAAATAACACTACATGTCCTTCAATTTTATAGCAAGGCATAAAAATCATGGTAACAGTAATGCAAATAATCACTGTATTTCTGCTTATCATGCAGGGCTTGAGCTAGGTCAGAATTTTAGGGAGAAGTGACTTCTCCCTCCAGCTGATTAAGGGAGAAGTGAGGAGACTTTAGGGAGAAGTTGGGAGACATATTAGGCGTCATCTGGAGAATTATAAGCTAGGAAACTTTACAAACCAGAAAAGAAATAAACACCTCTCAAATAAAGTAATTCTACTATAAATCTACTTTTCATAATGTATACCTATAACAAACACAATATTTACATATACTGTATACATGTAGAAATAGTATGTTTAGTTGGTAACAATATTCAGGGCAGATAGAGCAGTGTCACTTGCCATATTGTCAATGAGTCAGACTGGTCATCGTCTATAATTTTCGTTTACTTATTTTCCCACAAGCCAGAATGTTAGAGACATTTAATTTTGTATTATCAACATGTTTACTTTACGGAATTCAATGTATTAAAAAAATATTAGATACAAAACTTCACATTATTTCTTCAGATTAGTGCTCCGAAAGTTTTTAACAATCAAGTTTTCGAACATAACCACACCTTTAAGATTGTTTATTGTTTATCTTTACTCGCCAAAACACTGCAACAATTATCAACAACTATGCATATGTAGGTGTCTTTAATCATGCAATCGACGAAAATTGATTGAATCTGTCGCCATTTTGTGTAATTGTCAACAAACAGCCGCAGTCTGTTAATGTGTCGTAGATTGATCAATTCAAACTGCTGTAGATACAAGGCGGGTTCTGATTGGTCAATGAATACATAATGAAAAAGATATACATAGTGAACTCTTGCCTCGCGGAGTATATTAGACTTTGTTGATGTTGACACGCGTTCTTAATTAGCAGATTAATGGTAATTGGTTGTAATTGAGAGGTAAACAAATTTTTAACAGACCTAGCGTCGTAAATAGGTACAATAGATCATTAAGAAATTGGGCAACTTCAAAATCGCTTTGAAGTTTGTTTTAGGCGAAGTCGCTGATCCAAAGGCGACTTCTTCACCAAAGTAGCCCCCTAGCTCAAGCCCTGACTTATGTGTTTATAAATCTTAACATTTAAAGCATGTTACTGCCAAGTAAACAGGTCATTTACCTCTAGGTGTTTTCATATACTTTTTTCTTATTTCCACAAGTGCAGTATACGCATATTTAATCCTTGAACTGTTTGCTTGTCGGATAAGGTCACTGCATTTCTTGCTTGCCATCATTTAGCCATCACTTATCTGAAAATAAGACCAAAGATGCATTAAATTCTTTTGTGTTTTCTTGAAGTTTAGACATTTTAGTGAGAAATGGTGTTAAAATCACTTGGTTTGAATCATACGAATATGTATACACAGAAAGCCAAAGCAGGGCCAGGTTTCCGTGTTTGCTACAAGCGCTTAAAGATAACATGTACAAGTCATGTAAAACTTTAACTGAAAACTCATTAAAATCAATAAAAAGTTGATTTAACAAAAGCATCTTCACAATTCAGACTGTTGATAGATGATGCCACCATTCTTCTATCCTAAAATACAGTTCCATAAGCAGCATGATGCGGAGAATTAGAAAAAAAATATTATTTTCATGGATAAGTTAGTACTAAATTTTAAGTAGCGTTGGTAAATATAAAAACATCCTTTTATATATCCACTTTCATAAAAGCATCGTGTTTTATTAAGGTTCCAAGGACAACTCTGCTGGTACATTGAACACCAAAAATTCAATTATAGAGCTATAACATAGTCCAACTAATTGTACTACGCGACATGATGTTGTGCTATTATGTGTATGGTCAATATCTCGTCTGATTTTGACCCAGAACTGAAGCATCTCAGAATCTAGCTTTGGCAAGTCAATATATTTTGAGTCAGCTACTTTTTTTTCTGAACAGTACTTCTTATGTGCATTTACAAGATCCAGATATCAGATGCGAGTCACATACCGCTAGAACTTTCGGCTAGCAAAATGGGATGTACAGCTAGCCACTGCCTATTATTAGATAATCATACATTGACAGTCAATTTTTTTTCTCAAGGTGACAGCAGTTAGGTCTATAAAACAGCAAGAAAAATCAATCGCAGCATTATGCCAGCCAAAATTAATATATATAAGTTGTGGAAAGAGCTGTGTAAAAAATGAAATATGATTCAGCTCGTGCGATTTGTTAGACTCTCCAAAAGGCATCAAGTCTTCGCCGACACTTATTTTTATTAATTACTACCGTTAGAATTCGTACTAAACATATAAAACACAAATTTAAATCTGTCAATGTCATTTCAATTATAATTATTTCTTTTCTCATTTTTATACGTTATTTTCAACTACACAGCAACAAAAAAGAACGAAAAACGTATCTTCGCCTAAAAATTCATCACCGGGACTTATGCCTAACTTAAATCAATGTCACGAAATATATTGAGTGCAGTATAGAATTTGAGCACGCGCAACGTCACTACCGAAACGAGGCCATCCAAAATATGAGACAGCTTCCGAGCGACACAGACTACCGATAGTGAAAGTGGAAAGATTAGGATATCTTACTGAAATAGATTATTTTCGTATTTTAAACAGTTCCTTTTTGTTTGTCATAGTTTTTACTCACTGTTGATGTTTTTTGTCTTCCATTTACCTGTTTACTATTAATTTAAAAACGGTGGCTTAAATTTAAAACGTTAAACCCCCGAAAATACGGGTCTACGGCATATGTATAAACGCATCAATTGACAGTATGTCTGAGTATAATAAAATT